TTTTCTTACAGATTATTCCTCTTTCCTGGGATTTCTGGGAATATCGAACACTTGCTTGAAATAAAAACTACACACATGTCAATAAACTTTTGGCAGACTTGTGGCTAAATACATATAGCAGTGGCACTTTTACATCACAATTACAATTTATGCACAAGTTGAAATTGGGCGTCAACTTCTTATTCATGTATGACAACCCTTCATCAACAGAACTCATCATCACTGCATTAAAAGTGGACACTGTAGTGTCTGTTTGACAGAAAAGAATACACACAGTGTGTAAACCAAACGACCTCAAGACATTTAAAGCTTCAGCACTCAAACAGGAAATGAGAGTAGAAATGTGTTAGCCTCAGACACAGGTGGTAATACCATCACTAAAGAGAGTTTTGCTTTAGGTGACTCAATTATTTTTGGAGAGCGAGTGTCACTTTTTCACAAGGTGGACGTCTCAGTTTGGTCAGGAACTCATTCTCCTTTCAAGACAAAGCTTGGCAAAAAAAAAAAGTTGTATCCAAATGAGTTTAAATGAGAAATGGAATTAATTTAATGATGTGGAGGCTAAATAGGCCCCGCAGAGCCAATAGAGCGCTGCTCTTTAATACGTGGATGCATTAAATTAAAGCTATAATTGTCACTGTTATATAGTAAAAGGGTGCGGCGGTGCACACATATCACATGCTGCTTGGTGCAAACGCGCTGTGGCTGAGATGAAAGTTTGCACTTTGTTGCTTTAGGTTCGAGACCCCAGGGGCTAACGAGAGACACTCAGATCCATCTGTGTAACGACAGGAAGGCACACGCACGAAATATTCCGAATCCAGCTTTGCTTTTCACACTTTTGCCTGCGATGGCCTCCACAGACAGGTGACTGGCTTCTGTGAATAAGTGGTGTGAAAATGGCAGCCAAGCAGCCAGAGCAGAGCAGCACTGGTGGATTTGTCTCTGTTTAATGAGGCAGCTGGTGGGGAGGGCAGTCATTGTTTTCCTCTCATAGGGGATGCGTTGAGTAATTTGCAGTAACCAGGGAGATACCATCCCTTTTCATCCCTTCTCAAATGGCCGCCTGACTGTGGCGGATGCCAAAAACGTCCGGGTACCATTCCTAAGAACATTGTTGGCATTCAGCAGACATGAGCCACCGCAGCTACAAATGCGCCCCCACAGCATAATAACGTGTCAAAGACAAAATAATTACAGCAAATACATTTTAGTGCAAACTACAGTAATGACGGGAGGGTTTGGATTGAAATGTAGATAATTTTATAGGATTTTAGAATTATTTCTTGAATAATTTAATTGGTCCTTTATAATCAAACCACTGGCACAATTTCACAGATGTAGAAAAAGAAAGCACATATTTTTATTTTGAAGGCGTATATTACATATCCTGTCCAATCCTCCAATGGTAAGAAGTCCTTTTAATTTAAAAATCTATCAGCCAATCCAAGTCAAGTCTGCATTCATTACTGTGATACAGATACAGATGCAATACTACGTATATGTAATGTAGGACAAGCTAATGTAAATCAGTCTGCAGTATTTGGGACTGCATTTTGATGTACACACAGATACTGACTCTCTCACACTCAAACTCCATAATGATTTTTGCAACACCCGCATTGTCAAGTGAATATAAGTCTTTGTAATCTCCACAAACAGACATCAGATTATAAATATGTAGAGCTATATGCAGTGGACTCTTTAATTTATGTGTCATGTATCTACTTTGGATGCATTTTCAGTGGCTCCACTGACAGCTCAAAACCTAACCTAGTTTACATACACACTTTCAACCAGCTTCCTGTGTCGGCGCATATTTAGATTGCATGTAGAAAAATAGCCAATAAAAGCAAAAATGGACTGCATCTGGTAAAACACAATCTCAAAATCAAATCACGATCTTTGCAAATGTGTCTAAATTCATAATAACCAGAGGACAGTGAGCAATCTCTTCCCTGAATATCTGCTGATGGCACCTGCAGGTCCTAAAAACTGGCTGCTGCCCTCAGAAGGTTATGTCACGAGAAGACCTGATGGGTTCTTTATTCAAGAATTTAAATAAGACGGGGTTAAAGTGGTTCAAAACTAGCAGCTCAAATTTGTAAACAGGAAAAGTTTTATCGCTTCCAAACCAAGAAACATTTGGTTCATCACTTCTGTTTAAAATGATCCATGAGAAGCCGACTGGTGCAGTGAAAAACTGATGTAGCTTAATTCTTCTCTTCTGTTGCCACAAGATGCATCGGGAAAGCTAAGAAACAAATAAGAAAGGGAGGGCAGACATTTGTTTTACAATATGCAAATTTACACTGCAGGAAATAGATTTCTACACGGGCTATTAATATACTAATGTGAAATGTGTGTTCGTGCTCTTTTTTAAATAAGAAGAAAAGGAAAAAAGGTGAAGTAATGAGACTCCGCGATGAAATTCGGATCTACAACAGATCATTTACATTAACACAATGTCTCAGTGATGTATAGACAAACTAAAAACCCCACAGGAACGTGAGAGAGCACACTTTAGGCACAGACAACAACGGAAGCCAACACGTAGCCGCCTCAGACATTAACCCCCCAGTAAGGCTGTCTTCATTTGGTTAGACGCTGTTAAAAAAAAGGAACCAAGTCATTTTAATGATACACAATTTGCATCCTAACAAAACCTTCAGGCTCCGTTCAAGTTCTGCCAAAACGCACCGCTGGAGAACACCAAGTGTGCCCTTAAAATGCAATGCAGTTTAGCAGTTTAGCTAAACGGTACAAAGGGTTCCGAGTTTTCTGGTCGACACAGAATAAATTATATCCTCATACAAACTCTAAGATGTTTAATGGCAAAAGGATGCTGATATGGTTTTGCTGTTGCACTACTTGTAGTTGTGGCTGTTAGGCACACAGGTCCTCTTTTAGCTTGAGACTCTGTAGTTAGCCAAACAGTTTGAAATGAAACAGCTGAAGATTTAAACAAACAACACACACTCAGACTGCAGTGAGAGTTAGAGGTATTTGTTCTTCAACCACAAGTTAAACCTCAGGCAGCTGTTTTTCCAACTCTGTTCAATCAGGAAGAAAATAACAAATATTCTGACGCAAATAGAAAAATGACTCCTTGGACCTCAGAGGGTGAACCTCTTAGCATCCAGCAGGTCACTTAGTTTTGACTTAGTGTCGGGTTCACATCTGTCACTCTGCGTGTTGTGTGGTGGTTGTGAAGAGATTAATCATCTTGATGCTGCTCACAGACTGCAAATCACTGTGAATGCAGTGGCATAATAATTATGCAGAATAATCAATAGTCACTGAACGTATGGGCTTTTTTAAGCATTACTTTATTTTACTTCCTCATTTTTATTAGTATTATTTATCTGATGGTTGCACCTATTATTAACTCCTGGTCATATAAATAGGCACAGTCATCATGTTGTGGGGCCTCTGAAATCCCAGTTCACTTTAAATCTTAGAAAAATAATAATAAGGCAAGAGTACAAGTAGAATAAAACATCAGTGGTTTCTTTTAAGCAAACGCCTTCAAACATCAGTGATCCTGAAGTCCACTCACACTATTTCACTTCTGTGTTCTTAGCTTAGAGCGCCCCTTGTGGCCATCCCCCATATTAAAGCATGCTACAGATGTCTTCCAGCAGGGTTTTTACCAACTGTCTTCCCCTTAAATCCTTCCCCTCAGAAAGGCGTAGTTTTTGCAGAGCCACCCCATCAGATAAAAATACACAGTGAGGCACAGCAGAGATGATTTTAACAGTTAGGATTCAGAACAGAATTGCATAACTGTCTCTGCAGCAGGTGGGATGATAACAGCACAAAGGAGAAGAAAGAAAAAAGAAAGAAACATTCGTAAGGATTTCGTGCATTTGTGTCCTGCTAATCTTTCGCGAGGTAAATTAAAGCAACAATATAGAATTTCACCGTTTTCTAGTGTTGTGGCACCTCGAGAACACCCCCCCCCCCCCCCCCCCGACCTTCCAGGAACCCTGCACGAGAGCCAAGTCACTGCAGTAAAATTTTGGACTGAAAAGCTGCATCTCCGGCCAATTTGTGTCTTTTTTTAAGCACCAAATGATATTTCTGCTTTATTACAGAGCAGGGCGATCACAAACATGAGAAAGACGGAGAACGATGGAAGGATGGGGGAGACAGTTTGGAGGGTTATACATATCACATTCCTATCTCTCACCTCTCTCCCCACATCCCTTTTTTAGTTCATAACTGCCATGGGTATTAATAATTAATGAGGACAATTCTCTGGCGTCTGGATGAGTCATACTCTCTGCTACTTGGTTTCCCAAAAGCACAAAAGCTGGGATTAACACAGAAAGAGGAAATCTGAATTTTTAACCCTAAAATGGAACTGGCATAAATGTTTGATGGGTGTCTATAAACAGAGGGAACTTTGACACCTGCCAAAAAAATCAAAAAGTCAGGTGTTCTGTCAGAAACCTGCCTTAAAAGCTGAAAGGACAGAAAAAGTTCGGGATGTTTGGGACGTAATATTCTGTGATCCAAATAGGAAAAACCAGCACATGTGCATATTTGTATGAAGTTTTCCACGCTGGAGTCTTTATTTTGGCTTAGTTTTACTTGCTTAAACTGTTAGCTTGAAAAGCACGAACTGGTTCATGGCCTTCGGGGCAAAAAACAAGACTTTCCCAAGTTGCAGAGGCAGTTTTCTAAGCAACTAAACAATTATATATTATGCTTGAAGGGCAGCCAGTGTTTGTACACGAACAAAACAAGAACAGCGTTCTGTCAGCTTTAGTTTGTCCAACACTGAGCTGTCAGACGCTGCAACGTGTGCTGTGAAAGGGAAAAATGCTAATGGCAGGGTTTGCAGAAGCTTGAAAGTTAAGCAGCCTCGAAGAACGACGAGGATGTACGAGCTTAAAAGAAATAGGGGGGGACACGGTGCAAAGAGGTGCTGATTTTAATACCTTGATTTCAACATGATTATACACGAGAAAATTAACCAATATACAGGAGATTTATGACTGATAGAAAATTGTATTTATTATACTTTCCAAGATACATTCTATTCATTTGTAATGTCAATAAACACTCATAATTTTAACTTAACAATACTTTTTAAATAAGGACCGGATAGAGTTAAGTTGAATAAAGAATTTTGAAATAGAACTTGTCCTGACAATATCATCTCAAACTAAATAAATTAAAAACAAAACGGAGACTGAGCTAATATTGCACATGGTTGTTTTTCCGATATGATTCAGCCCAGATCCGACAATTTAGAGCCTCGATCGGTTTGCCCTCGCTTTCCCTCCCTTTTTCCTCCCAGGTCCAACAATTCCAGAAGCATATCGAGTTTAATGCACATTTATTTTGGTTGCATAATGTTAATAAGAAACCTTTTACAAGATACTGTGGGAGATATAAGAATAAGGAAACTGCTGGAAACGTCACAGACTCTATCAGGCCTCTTGCTCATCGTGCGACACAAGAAAAAGGAAACATCACAGATCACATTTCACAACCTTTCATCCGGCAGGCGCTCCTCAGCAGACCAAGAGAAATAGAAACCCTTGAATCGACTGAATTAGCTCTGATGCAGCACACTATCAAGTCCTTTCCACTCTTTGCGTATTATTCTTCTTAAATAATACCGATAACTCTTTAAATAACCCTGCATAGAAAAATAAATTAACTATGTTGTTAAATTTTCATTCCTTTTCTACGAATTGAGAGCTGACGGGGAGGCGGGTCAACGATTGAATTATATTAGCGGTTTGTTGGACAATCTGGCAATGAAGTCTCTTGATGTTGATGATGCTCCGTCGTACAGTATGAGTGTGTGTGTGTGTCTTTCTTTGTAATTTACAAACCAGTCCCACAGATACAAATAATGTAAGACTTACAAAATAAATTCCAGGTTACGCTTACATGGCAAGCAGCTTTGTAATTTCTTTTTTTTTCTTTTTTCCTTTTTTTAATCATTGGGTTTTTTGTTTTTTTTTCTTTTCATTTTTCAGAAACGTCCTCTGACAGTGTATGTGCCATTAGATTTCACCCAAAACATACAGTTACTGTAAGTAGGAATTTTTAAAGAGAAACACAACTCCATTCAGAAGACACTATATTTAACATGGCTCTTTACACAAAGAAAACAAGTCATGAAATCATTCCCCCAAAAGAGTTTCGCGGTGCCTCCAATTCCCACGAATGGAAAACGGGAGCCGTTTAGCCTCCCGGCAAAGAGCAGGTGTACTGCTACTGCTGTGTAATCCACACAAGATGGCAGAGAGTCTGCAGCCAACTCCGGAGAGCATCCACAAGATCAAATAGATATCCCAGCAACACAAAAAAGGTCAAATAAAAACAAAATAAAATAGAATAAAGCAAAGTAGCATCCATTGAGTCACTGATTCTGTTAATCTCATCCCAGTAGAAGGAGACATGATTGGTTCCAGAGCAAAAAGAACAACCAGCGCTCCCCTCTTTTTCTTTTTTTTAAAAACGGGCTGAAGCCAGCGAGGTATATTCTCAAGCACTGTTTCAAGACCCTTTGATTTGGTTGGAAAAAAAAACAGTAAAAGAAAAAGAACAACAACAAGAACAACAAAAAAATATGAAGAAGATAAGTACCCATTTCAGTAGCAGCAAAAAATACTATGTCTGGTTGCTTTTTTAAGGGTGTCCTATGGTAAGTTTGCAGGATTCGTACATATGAGTGGCTGATAATCCAGAAGGTCTTTTACTGTGAAATACATCCACGCTTATTCTACTAATAGCCTTGTAGTGTGGAGCCATTTTGTCCTTCTCTGCAGTGGTCATTAAGGATTTCCAGAAGGCACTTTTTTTGCTTTGTGTGTGTGTGTGTGTGTGTGTGTGTGTGTGTGTGTGTGTGTGGCTGCAGAGAGGGAAATGAAGGCAGAGGGTGAGAGATCTGAAGGTTTGAATGACGTGTGTGTGTCTCAAGAGGACAAAGAGCCAGAGAAATGTGTTCGGCTGTCTGTCTGCCTGCATGTTGCTGACTTCATACTGTAGAAGTGTGTGTAATCAATGCACAGATCAAACACAACAGTCCCTACATTTTGCTCAGTGCAGTCTGCTCCTCGAGCACCTGCAGGTAATCAGGCGTTCCTTGGAGCTTGGCTTTCAGCTCGTAATACTCACTTTTCCTCTGCTCCACTACGATCTTACTGTGGTTCCCGCCTATCAGCGACGACTTCTTCATCTTTTTATCCAGCGTTTTCTCTGGGTAGCGGATTTCATATCCACCCATCCCTATACTGTTGAAATCTCTTTTGCTGTCCAGGAAGTTGTGGATGAACATGCTGGGCTCTCGGTTGGGGAGAAACTCCTCGAGTTCGTCGATGGTGCTGAGGCGTTTGTTGCGCTCCAGAGTGGAAAGCATGTCTTTCTCCTTGTCTGCGCTGTTCCGCAGGATGATCTTCTGCCTCTGCGAGTCTGCAAATTTGAAGCCGGCATCCAAGTCTGAGGAGCGACCGATCCCGCAGGTGTGGCTCTTGCCGATGTGCTCGATAGTCTGAGGGATGAAGGCCTCGCCTCCCAAGTCGTCGCCGGGGATAGAACCTTTTTTGCCGGATTTGTGGCTGTGGCGGCGAAGCTGCAAAGACATTGAGCCGCACTCCTGGTTCCCCAGCCCCTCCTGCCTGCCCACCGGTTTTTTATTCCGCCTCAGGACAAAGACTAAAAGGCAGAAGGCCACAAACACAGTCAGGATCAGCACTACGAGGATGCTAAGGATCATAATTGAAAGAGGCACTGGCCCTCCCGGTGGTGCTTTGCCAACTCCAGCAGGCGACACTGATGTCAAAACAGGGGTAGCGCCAGTCTGAATAAATGGCGGCCTCGCCATCCGAGGACACAGGATCTCATTTTTTAAGAGGCGCAGTTCAATGTTGGCGAACTGCACAGGGGAGGCACATTTCACCTCTTTGGCAGCCACTCCATCACTCAGTTTCTGCAGCCAGAGTTTGAGGGCAACCAGATCGCACGAGCACTCCCACGGGTTCCCTTCCAGGTCTATTTGGGTCAGTGACCTCAGCTGGTCCAAGACACCGCTCACTGGCAGGGTCATGAAGTGGTTGTTTTTCAGATTGAGTCTGGCTAAAGGGATCCCCGCAAACACATAAGCAGGGAGACTCCGCAGAACGTTGTTGTTGAGATACAGGAGTTGAAGGTTCGGCATGGAATCAAACGTACCTGCTAAGATTTCCTTTATGGCATTGTATTCCAAATATAAGTACTGCAGGTTTGTGAGGCCCAAAAACATCTCTGGGTGCAACTGTTCAAGCAGGTTTCCGTTTAAGTACAGTCTCCTCAGGTTCGTGAGGTTAGCAAACACACCTTTCTGGACTGTGATAATCTGATTGCTGCCAAGATGCAGCAGATCTAAGCCCTCAAAACCTTGGAAATCACTCGGATTGATGTCACGGATGTAATTCCCACTCAGGTGAAGCTTCTTGGCATTTGGGGGTTTGGGAACGAGATCAGCTAGATTTTTAATATTCCTCTCCTGACAGCTGACGCTAATGCCAAAGTCAGAAGGGTGGGCTTTGCAGCTGCAGGGCTGTGGACACAACTGAAAGGAAACAATCTGGTTATTCCTTCCAGCCACAATCCCATTGCCATAAAACTTTGATGAGTCTGTGGTTTTTGGCGTTTTCGTGGCTATGGGAGCCACAGTACTTGGGGGCGTTTTGGAGGGCTGTGCAGGTGGCATCCTAACATCAAATTCACTTCCTGTTCCCATGGGACAAAGCTCCTGTTTGTTGGTTTCTTTCAGGAGCCTCCCGTACAAGTCACTTGGTGTTTCACATATGGCCTCGCCAATAAAAATATTATAGGGCATGTTTTCAAGCCACGCTTTGAGAGGCGCTAGGTCACAGGTACAGTTCCAGGGGTTGTCGTCCAGCTGCAGCTCTACAATGCGTCCAATGTGCTCCAGAACACCCAAATAGGGAAGTTTCTGGATCCTGTTGCCCCTTATATCCAGATGTGTGAGTGAGGCAAAGCGAAATATGTTGTCGGGGAGTGCCTGTATGAGATTGTCATTCAGGATCAGCACTTTGAGTTTGTGCAGTTTGTTAAAGGCTCCCTTCTCAATGTATTGTATTAAGTTGTAGTCAGCCTGAAGGTATTCCAAGTTTTCTATGCCTAGGAAAGTGTCCGCACGCAGCACCTTTAACTCGTTGCTGTTCAGATGCAGCTGTTTCAACGCACTCATCCCCATGAAGGCCCCACCTTCGATGTTCTGCAGTTTATTGTTCCCCAGGTGCAGCGAGACGGCGTGGGTGAAGTTGAGGAAGGAGTTTGGGTAGAGTATGATCAGAAAGTTGTTCTGGAAGTTAAGGTGGTAGAGGGACGAGGCCGGAGGGACGAGCTGTGTGGGTCGATAGACGGTGATCTCCTCGCAGTTGACATACAGCACGTTTTCCACCGACATGCAGGAGCAGGCGACGCAGGTCTCGGCCAGCAAGTCAGGGGCGGACGGGTCTGCCATCGGGGGTCCGTTCGACATTGAGGGGGAGGAGAGGGAGGAGGCGAGAGAGCCGGAGATAGAAGAAGAAAAGGCTGCCAGCAGGAGTACGAGCAGCATTTCGCCGGTTAGAAATCCTCCCCCAGAAAACCATTTAGTAACCTTTGGAAAGAAAAAGAAAAGAGAGACAGGCGCATGCAAAAACATCCACACACGCAGGCGTACATACATGCACACAAAACCAGATATGCACGCACGCACGCACACACACACACACACCATCAAAATTCATATTTGAGATCGACTGCATTGCAATTTTAATATTTAACTCGATTTATATTTAAAGTACAAAAAAGAAAACATTACTCTCACTGTATGAAATAAATTCTAGCCACGATGCTAATAATGCACATTTGCAATGATCCCACTATTTCATCAGAATCTATAAACTGCGTATCTCTGTTACTGACACACAGTCATTCCTCCAAATCCTGGACAGCCTGAAATGTTGTATGGAGGTTATTCAGTACTGCAGGAAAAAGTAGCACATGCTCTGGAAATTACCCAAACCCCTAAAATACTGCACGTCTATGCATCTTATTCTGACACCCAAAGCAAGACACAGACATCAGCACAACTCTGTTTTCTGCCTCTCAGATTCAACATAATCAAAGTCAAATGGCTGCAGTTCCCTTTTCTAGGGGAGGTCTAATTTGGAGCCAGCACCTCCACTACCAGCGAGTAGCACATTCCGATTATTTAGCAAAGAGAAGAAGAAGAAGAATTGGGACTGTGCCCATTACTGACACACTGAGAGGGGTTTAAGCTGCACCCATTTATAGCAGCTGTGACACAAGAAGAAATTCCACATGACGAAATCTGAGAGATCTTTTTTATGGGACTGAATTTAAATAAATTGGACTTACCCAAAGCTGTGGTGGTGATGAATGCGGCTCCCTCTGGAGACACGGGGCAGGATTGGTGAGACATGGATGGAGCCGTGCAAACAGTCTGCCCAGCAGAAGCCGACAGTTATAGGGGCGCAACAAGGTCTCCCCCCAGTCCTCTATAGCCCCATGTAGGGAGCCGAGCAAACCGGAGAGGTGGAGGTGCGAGGCGGAGATGGAGAAACAGAGGAGGGAGAGGAGGAGAGGCGAAGAAGGAGGGAGGTCCGATTTCACCCGATGCGCCTCTTACTGACGGGCTCCTCTTGCTTGGAAAAATCTCCCCGCTGCTCGTTCGGTCCCCAAGGTGGCCGTACTACCTCCATGGGAAAACGTTCATTTGGGTGCAGGGGAGATAGAGAGGGAGCGGGGGAAAGGTAGAAGAAGGCAGAAAGAGGGGAAATAGAAAGAGGGGTTGGGGGGGAGGAGGCAGATAGCTTTCAGAGATCTTCACGGCGCGTCCGGCGACTCCAAGGCGTGAAAAGGGGCGCAAGGCGGACACCAGTACGGTGGAATAAGTCCATCATTCTTGGAGTTTTTATTTAAAGGCGGGGAACTGATCGAGAGAAAGAGGAGTAGCAATGAGTAGAAAATGGGGAGGGAGAGGGGATGATGATGATGATGGCCAGCACTGTGCGTCTGGCTACAGCTCGGCTGAGCAACCCTCCGAAGGGCCAATGAATAAATACTGGTTCGTTTCCAGCGAAGTTGCGCACGGGGATAAAGCTCCAGAGGGCAGAAGCGGCCAAAATGCCCCCATCAGGTTGGTTTTGTCACGAGGTTATTCTCCATCCGTGCAGCGCTAATCCCTCCACCCCCCAAAAAACTGTTGGTGGTTCTCTGCACTTTGTTTGCAGGCGAATGGAGAAGATATTATTTCAGTCTCATCCAAGTGGGAGGGAATCAGTTCTTATGTTTTTTTGTTTGTTTCTTTCCCCCTGTAATAAAGAAGAAGAATATTGAAGCTCCTTTCCGAGAAAAAAAGGAGGAAGAAAGAAAAACGAAGAGAAACCAGAGAGACGAGTGAGGACAAGAGAAACCGGTGCGTAAAAATGAATAATGCAGTTATTCAGCCTTTAGTCCGCTGTGGTGCAAGTGAGGCGCTCGAAAGTCCGCACATTCTCTCTTTCATAGGTCCAAAGAAGGGAAGGGAGAAAAAAAGAATCAAAATGGACTTGATAATTTTTTAAGTAATCCTCTCCTTGGGAAAAACACAAAAAATATCCAGGTGGAATAAATGGCAGAGGAGGGGGGAGGGGTGTCACACCGGAGAAAAGCAAGCTTGTGTTTCTCTCCCTCCTGTAAAGACAGAACAGTATCCGTGTCAGGCGCATAAGTATGCTGGCTCCTTCTGCAGCCGCATTCACGGAGCTTCCCACACGACTAAAAAGAGGAGAATGCAGAGATGGAGAGGGAGGGAGAGAGGGAGGGAGAGAGAGAGAGAGAGAGAGAGGGAGGAGGGAGGGGGGGGCTCGCTCACATTGACCGAAAAGAGAAAAAAGATACTCCAGACCTTGAACCAGATCCATTAGGGTGAGTGAACACTGCAACAGCTGCATTTGCTCCCTATTTACGAGCAGATTCAGATTTTTTGTTTTATTATTTTTCTATTCTTAAATGTAATAAAAGGAGGCTTCACCTGTTTTTATTTCCTACCCTGTGTGAGCTCGTGGGGGGGGGGTCAAGATCAAAGCGCTGATGGAGACGGAGGAAGGGAGTGTGCGCGCGTGCGGGTGGACTTGGCGCGTTAAGAAAATAAAAGCAGCACTGCGAAAGAGTCACAGCGGGCCGGACCTGCGCAACACGGACCGAGCGCGTCCCCGAGGTCCGTGTGGAGAGAGAGAGAGGGATGTGTGTGTGCTTAAAACCCGGCACGGGAGCGCGCATGTGAGCGGCATTTTAAACAGGAGGGAGAGAAAGCGAGCGAGCGAGAGAGGGAGATGGGGTTATTATTCAGGAGCGCTGCAGTCAGGCGGGCTGGAAGAGAGACAAAAACGGAGATGGTGATGGAGAATCAGTCAGTCAAGAGCTCAAGTTTATTGTGCATGTTTGTGGGAGAACATGGAAGAAGGAGCTCGATGAAGCAGATTAGAGCAGGAGAGAAGAGGAGGTAAGTTAGCCGCCTCCTTATACAGTTACATTTTTATACATTCTTGCTATTATTATTCTTCTATCTATCTTATCATGAGTCCTGGCTCCTCAGCTGACACTGGAGGGGGAGTCCAACCTGAAACCTGACAGCGTTTGGGCTCACCGGAAGCCTCACCTCTGGTTTCCTCTTGCAACAGGTGGCGAGGCCAGGTGACGCACAAATAAAAGCAGGCCGAAGAAAGGGAAGTCCAGGGAAGTCTGGATGTGAGCCCGCCTGCACGTCAGCAGAGGCTAACAACAGTTTAAGTTTAAGGTTGATAATGATGAAGCAGTAAATTCAACATGCAGTCATTATACTATCACATCCATGCACACAGGCAGGTACAGAGATTTCCTTCCTGTCTGACTGTACAGCACCATAACACTGAACAACTCTTCTATTATTTTATTGCTTTGTTTGTGTCATTTTGCACTGCAGTGCATTTTATAATGTCACATCTGCAATGGCTGGAAATGCCCAGCTCTTACATTCATCCTCTCCACACTGATGTGGGTGCATTTGGGATAATTAATAATCACTACAGCAAAGCCAAGAACAAAATCATTGCAGGTAGCCTATATTTCAAACACCAAAGAGATGCTGGGTCACTGTATCAGGCTTTGTCAAAGAAGAATTAGAAAAAATTTAAATATTATATAGATAATATATAATAATATAATAAACCAGTAATCACATATCCCAGTAGATATGGGTTAACGATTCTGAGAACACAGGCCTCAGCAGGTTATATACTAACCCCCACTGTATATGTATGAGATTTGTTTTGATTAAATATAAAGATAATTTTTTGTTCGACTTGTATGTCAACTTCTTAACATCGACCAGGTCTAAGACGACCGGTGTAGGGTCAGGCTTTCACCCTAAACATGTCAAGCAATAATATTTTTAGAAATTAGAAGCTGTTATCTTTTTAAATAGAGTTTCCCCCGTGTATTTCTGCACTGCAGTTTCCTTAAAATAGCGTGGTTGTTGTCCAGACTCTAACCCTGACACGTTGCAAGGTAAAAGGCGATCTAATCATGTAATCCATATTTTTCTTAAGCATTTTAAAAAATACTGCATCCATTTCATGTTTGACAGAGATATGATGATGAACAACACTTACTGGTAAAGAGATTAGGCACAGTGAAGTAACTGTAATGGCTGAGCCGTCTCAGTCCTTTGATAGATCAAACGGAAGTCATCACTTCTCATTTTTATATGGAGCAAACACAAAACAAACAAACAACATAAACCACAATAATCTATATAAGATGGAGTTTTTACAAGCATCCCCAAAAGGCAAATTAAGCACCCCTCATCAGTGTGTGCGCATTACTCTGTGTGTATGAGTGTGCTGATATTTGACAGTGTTGGACATGTTCCTACACTGGCTGTGAGTGGCCTGAGGGAAGCAGGCCTACTAGAAAATGAGCCAGACAGTTGGCAAATCCCCTGCTTCCGTCTCAGCTGTCGGTTGGTAGTCTGGCCATGTGGGCCGAAACGCTGCTTCCTGTGTCCAAACACCAGAGAAGCCCTGACTCCGCTGTGCTCTAATCCCATTTCAGGAATTAACATAAAGCGTCCTAATATGTCTTTTAAAGGATTCACATGTGCTATTGTTTTTGTCTCTCACAGCCACTGCTGCTGCTGCTTTCCTCTGCTGCAGGTCTTATTTATTTTTACTTTTTGATGTGTCGCCCTCATCTGGACATAAAGGTAACTGCAGTCCAGTAATGCTGCTCAGGTAAGGCCTGCTCACTTTCCCTTATTGAAATAATGAGCATTAATGATGGCACACGCTCTGATTAGTGTACCATAAAATTCATTTTGATGCAGATCTAATATGAGAAAAAAGTACATTTCCTCTCTTTTGTCTCATACTAGACTCATGAGAGTTTCACAGCATTTCATTTATATTTATATAGTGCAAATTCATAATTCACAGTCACCTCAAGGTGCTTTGTATTGTAAAGGTCTACAATAGAAAAAGCAAACAAACCCCAACAATCACATGACCCCCTACGAGCAAGCACTTGGCAACAGTGGGAAGGAAAAACTCCCTTTTAACAGGAGGACAGAACCAGGCTCACGGAGGGAGGGGCCATCCTCCACAACCCACTGGGGCTAAAGGAGGGAGAGACAAACTGTAGGAGAGAGAGAGAGTTTGACATTTGCTAATGATTAAATACAGTAGTGGTGTATAAACACACAGAGTGAAAAGAGATGGATGAAGAAGAAACATTATCGCATGTTCTAGTCTCATTGTAGCAAAACTAAAGCAGGATTCAGGGTCATCTGATCCAGCCTTGAATATACGTTTTATCAAAAAGAAAACTTTTACATCTAATCTTAAAAGTAGAGAACGTGTCTGCAGTCCTGCATATTTCTTTAATGTGTGCTTTGAAGGACATCCTGATCAAAAATGCTCCAAGAGTCCTCACAGTGTTACTGAAGACCAAACCAACACTGTCTAAAGAATCTTGTTAGACATCATGTGTCAAAGATTATTTTAGGACCAAACACAGTAATACCGTGACAGGTCATCCAGGCCTTTATGTGTTCACAACATGACTCTATCATCTGTCTTTGTGGATAAATAAAGCTGTAATATCTACACGGCAATGCACACGTATGCAGTGTTTTCTAATAACATTGCCTAAAGGAAGAAGGTTTACTTTAAAAAGTTCTGGTCCCATCACAGAACCAACTCAGGGACTAATGTTTGTGTAGTGAGCACTCCCTGTTTACGAGCACAAATTGGACTCTGGCAGACAAATATGACTCCAACATGGTTACTTTAACACCCACAGTATGTTCTGACCTCTGTAGTAAAGTATTGTGGTTAGCAGGTGTAACAGTCTACTGTCAGAGGCCAGAAGAGTATCATCCAGAAGTGCTGCCTCTGTACTAAGATAAGCCTTTATTAATCCCTCACATGGGAAATTGTTTGCAGAAAGTACAACTGTACTATGGAATGCAGTGAGTACTATCAAAGTACTATTAAAGTACTATGATGTACTCTAAATCTTGACAGAAACGCTTTACAAAATCATTTCTCATCAAATGATCAGTAAACTGTTTGACAGCTATTCTTTCATGAACTTTTGATAAT